ATGTTATGAAGTTACCTACTACAAAAATTTAATTTTTGATACCATGTATTCGAATAGTTGAACATACAATCAAATAATTTTTCATCTCATCAATATGTACAAATGGTATCAATTTATTGCTTGTATCGGGGTTGTGCGTTTGATATGCAATATTAATATACTAAGCCATTGCCGAGTAGGCATCGCAAATCAGTCTAATTACTAAGCTTCTTCACATTTTTTACTGCAAATGTCTTCACTTGCCCCCATATACCTCAATTCTGACAGTTCTATTGTTACTACACATACTGACCACTTCTCCTGTTATGCTGCACGTCTGCTCTAACTTTCGTTTTCTTGTTTTCTGGTTGTTATCGGGATCTGGAGCAATTGCAACTTTATCACCTGGGTTAAAGGCCGGTTTTCTTCGATGAACGCTTGCGCGAACAAGTATTTTGTTTCGATATTTTTCATCATTCCGCGCGTGATTTCTCCTCGTACTTGCTGCACCTGCTTCAAATGGTTCTCATATGTAGTTTGCTGATTTGTATGATCAGCGGTGTCATCATAAGCGTCTTGAATATAACTTCCTTCCACTTGATTAGATTCGACGAGTATTTCGGATGGCGTACCATAAACACCTCGCATCTTAAATCTGAAAAATGCCTCGTACGTGATTTCTTGTGTGTTTCATGAGATGCTTTATTATATGCAATTACAAATGCAGGCAGGATGTCAATCCAACGATATCCTTGGGTTTGGGAAACCTCATCCCACAGCATTTGGTTAGGCGTCGACCGAGTGTTTGATTAAATCTTTCAATCTTTCCTTGGGTTTGTGGATGTCGGACACGACCATGGATGAGCTGTATCTGGAGTATGGAGTAGGGTTAGGATAGAGTAGGGTTAGAGCTTTATTAATTCTTAAATCTCAAACTACAAAACTGACCTTGAGCGTTTCGCAGGTTTTCTTTAGTACATCAGTGATAAATTCAGATCCGTTGTCTGATTGAAGCTCCGTGGGGGGACTGAACATTGAAAAATGTCTTGCTAATTTCTTATTAATCGTACTTCCCTCTTTGTCTTTGAGCAGAATAACCCAGACGCGTGAGAATACATCAATCATTGTGAGAATGTAACTATAACCATCATTATGTTCGGCAAAAGAAAGAAGATTGACCAGGTCCATCTGGAGACGTTCTAATGGAGCACTGGCGATGATGGGTGTTATATCGTTTTTTTCTTTAATAGATACGTTTCGGATACAAGTAGGGCACTTTCGTACAAACTCTTTGACTTCATTTTGTGTAATTCCGATGTGTTTCTCGTATAGCATAGTGTATGTTTTATGGTATTCGAAATGAGAGG